GCAATGAGGACTTGGAGGACCATAAGGAGCACCGACCTGTGATCCTCCTGCCTGAGACCTCAGTCCTGCTTCCTGGCTAGGCCAGTCATCAACAGTGTGTACAGGGGACCACTGTGTGTGGACTCTACTCTAGGTGTGGGGGTTCTGCAGCCTACTAGGGTTTAGATTTCAGAATAGGAAATGGGCACCGTATGGCAGGTACGTCTGGAACATCATACATGTGATATCGTGTCAGTGTAAGGGGCTATGACGGGAAATAGAGCTGGACAAGCCACCCAGAGTGACAGGGAGGGGGCACTGCCAGGAGTATGTTGGACTTCCCTAAGGAGATGTTGAGGTCAGTCTCAGGCAGGGATGTCAGAGATTTTCCTGGATAAATCCTTCGGGAGAAGGCTTTGGTCGCCTGAGGAGGGACCACTTAGCTGCATGGAGGGAGAGATCGGAGCTCAGTCCTCAGGTCGAAAGAAGAAAGAAACCCAATATTTCTTACTCACCCTCTGTGGTCTGGCATTTTGTTCTCATTTAACGCTGACGACTCCCTGTAAGATGGAAAGTCTTACCTCCATTTCCTGATGGAGGGGAACAGGCTCCCAGAGGATGGGCAGCCACAATGGTACCCCATTTTTTTTTCTGTTGCTCACCCCCTTCCAAGGACTCAAATTGCTTTCCAAAATTCTCTGGTGACCTGGGACTGACTGAGACAGACAGGAAGAACTGCTGTAACCTGTGGTCCTAGGGTCAGGGTGGGCCCAGGCCATGAAAGACTGGTGACCGGACAGTTGTTCTCAGGTTCCAGCATCTTGGTGGAAAGTCAAGGTCGTCAGTGCTGGGCAGAGGCATCCTGCCGTCCCTGCTTGCTGGTGCCAAGGCCAACTTGGGTCACCTGGGCCTAGGTCCTGCCCTCTGGGGGTCTTCTGGGCCCTCCCAAGGGAACCACCTGGGCAAGGAGGGGAGGGGAGCCAGAAGCCACACACACCTTATCCTCAGCTAAACTTCGGATTGTTGTGGAGATTTAAGTCACTCACTCAAGAGGATGCCCACTTAACCAGGATCCCCAAAGATTTTGACAGCTCAGTACCAAAGGCACCCACTACCCGCTGCATAGAGCAGGCAGGATGGGACTACCTCGCTCGCCTGCTGACTTCCCGCCTCACTATCAACTCCACCGCCAGGGGGCGCGCCAGGGTGGCGCAGGAGAGGCAGGGAGCCCTGGAGAAGATACCTGTTTGCCTTTGTGTTCGATTTGTCGCTCACCTACGTTGTGCTTACCTGGTGCAGGTCATGGGTTTCCTGCATGTCCAGGACTCTACATTTATGCCAGAGAAGGGAGCTGGACATAAGAGAAATCTTGTCCAATTCATTTCTGTGCCCACCACTCACTGTGGTCCTCCTGCTTCCAAAGTGCCCACTATTGTCCAACCTTGCAGTGACCTCCAAGGAGCTCGTTTAAAATGTTCTGGAGCTCTTATACCGCTTAGCAGAAATTTCAAAGCCCCTCTCTCCGGGTGAGCGGTCTTGGAGACCCCTATGCGCCCCCCTCGTGGTGTTCCGGTGAGTTCCTGTTGTAGGCCTTTGGACCTTGGCACTTGCCGTTTCCCTCGCCTGCAGTGTCTTTTCCCTCTCCCTTCATCCTCCCTAGGCTGGTCGGCTCCAGGCTCCAGCCCCTCCAACGCTTCCCCCCATATGCCGCCCCCCGCAGCCCCTGGGGATATTCCAAGCAAAAATGAATGGCACAGTCAGTGCCTGGATTGGCGACTTCCTTCTCCCTCCCAGCGACAGACGGGTAGCCCTTTGAGGGCGAGCGGGCCTGGCCGCCGTATTCTTTGTCTAGGAGGTGCCGCGGCAGGGGGGTCTGGTGGAGCGGCGCTGAATACGCAGCTAGCTGCAGACTGCGCGCCCCGGGGAGCGCACATCAAAAGGAACCACAGGCCAGACACAGAGGTGGGGGTGGGATGGGGTCCCCATCCCAGGTCTAAGTTCCACGCCATTCACACACACTACATGAAGTGCTTCCTACGTGCCACCTTTTTGCCCCCAGGTCCCCGGCCCTTGTTGCCTTCTCTGCCCCCATTCAAGAGACCACCCTCCCATTCGGGGCTGAGGCCTCCGGGTCCACCGCGCTGACTCCTCCACCCCGCCCACCCTTGCTGGCTTTGGAGTGGATTTAACTCTTTCTCCACCAAGTGCAACCTACCCTGAGGTTCGGGGCGCCTATTAGATGTTTCTATTTGTGACTCGTACCTCAGCGGCGCCCTCCCTGCCCGGGGAAGGGACCATACTTCGGTTCCCACCAGCAGCGCTGGGCGGGCAGGAGGAAGGAAATTAAGCTTGTGTTGAAGGAAGGACACCTGGCAAGGGAGAGGAAGGGGCTTAGGAATCCCCTCCTCTGGGGAACTTTCAAGTGGGGGGAAATCCCCACACAGGCCTCCATTCTCCCAGCCTCCTGCCGTCATGCCTTCATCTGACAGGTCCTAGTCCTCTCTGCCTCTATTCCCCAGGCTTCTGGGCCAGCAGGCTCCTGGATTCACCCTCTTATCCATTTGTTCCTTGACCACTGAACACCAGCTGGGTGTTCACAGTATTCCAGGCAGCCCAGAGGAGGCATCTGAATACACACAGCCCTTCATGAAATGACCAGTTTTGCCAAGGCCAACCAGGGTGGCTTGCTGGGCATATCACAATCAAACCACACACCACCTAAAGCCACTGGGATCTTATGCTCTTGCTTCCTAGGGCTGGCACTTGCGGAATATCTTGAGGTCCTAAATCACTTCAAGAGCCCATCTAGTTCAACCCCTGCCTTCCCATTACATTGTATCCACGGTGGTTGGTGTCTTGGTGGTCAGGGAAGGCAGTCTCCCCAGCTCTCAGAAAGTTGGTTATGGGGCTCTGAAACTCCCCAGGTGTTTTTTGATTGTTTGTTTTGTTTTGTTTTGGGCAGAATTTGCACTCCAGCAGGCAGCTCTTTTCAGAAAACCACCTGGAAGCCCATGGGAAAGACAGCACTCCTCCAGGTAGGTTCTAACAGGCTTTGATCCATGAGGGGTGTGTAGAGGGCTCTCTTCCTGCAGCCCTGGTTGTGGGGTTCTGCATTCTGCAACAACGGCAAGCCCACTACCACCTCCTTTGCAGGTGAATCCAAAACAGGGAGCCTTAGAATCAGCCCAAGCCCTTAGGGCAACTGTGGAGATGCCCATCTCTGCGGCTTCCACCATGCCCCCTGCTCTTTAGTAGGTTTAGGAATTTTCTTTCCTTGCTGCCCCTAGGCCCTCTCTGCCTTTCCCCTTCTCTTTTCTTCCCTTTCTTCCTTCTGTTGGTAGCTCCTCACCCCCGCCCCAGCTCTTCTCTATTTTTGTCTCTGGGGCGTCTATCTCTCCACTTGGTCTCTCCCTTTTCTCCCCTTCCCTCCTCTCTTTCATCTCTCCCCCCACCCCACCCCCTCCAGTCAAGTACTGGGTTAGGAACGCAGCAGAATCCGTGACAAGCCCAGGCGGCTCTCCCGACCCTTGGTGCCCCCAGGGGCCAGTTCCTTGCTCTCCCCGCACCAGCAGCGGCCCTGTGCGGAGATTGGGCCAGCAGCAGCGGGTTCGAGCTGTGGATACCAGCAGCCCAGATGTCTTGTCCTCCTCCTTCAGCCTTGCCCCCAACCTCCCAGTCCCAAGGAGAGCCCACCATTCCCAGCCTGGGCAGGATTCAGGTGGGCTTCTTCCCTGCCCTTTCTGCCAGAGTTCCCCAAACTTCCCTGCCTCTCATCGGCCATATTTCCTTCACCCCCAAGTCAGGGCTGCACTAGAACCCTGAATCCTCCCACAGCCCCAGGGAAGGGGTTAGGTGGAATCACCCAGGTGATGGGATGTGTCCCCCAAATCTCACTGCGGCCTGAGACCTAATTCCTCTGCTCTGGAGAGGAAAAAGAAAGAGGACCCTCCGGCCCTGCAGGGGAACTGGAAGGATCCCCCCCCCCCATTGGGAGGGATGGGGTATTCGGATCAATGTGCTGTCAGCTCAGGATAAGAGCTTAATCATCAAACCCCAGGATACACCTCCCCATCAGCAGAAGGGCCCAGGGATCAGGACCGGAGAGTTGAACTGAGGGGGGGGGGGGGTCCTGGAGGCTCCTAGTAGCTCCTGGGCAGGGCGGCCACGTTTCATTGACTCCAAATGGTTCGACCCCAAGATCCAAAAGAGGCTGCGGGTCGGGCTTCTGAGGTCGGGCCTGAACGCCTTGAGGAGGAGAAAGTGACCCGACTCCGCGAGCAGGAAATGCAACTGGCCGCTGGTGTCAGTTGCAGGAAATGCAAAGGCAGCAGGAGGTCCCGATACCAATCTGATCCCTGACAAAAGACTCAAATGACACTCGGCTCTGTCCCCCGGCGCCGCCCGCAGCCAGACCTTCGAGCTTCCGCGGACTCTCCCGCGTGCCTCTCAGACACCCGGGAAGCGACCTCCTGCGGCCGGGTGGCGGGGCCGGCTGGCTGGCCCGCGGGCTGGGAAGGCTGGAGACTGGGAGGGGTTGCATTTCCCAATCTCCGGTCCTGACGGCCCGAGCTGGGGTTCTGGAAACATCCCTGTGCTTTCTACTGTCGATTCCTCGCGGGCCTAAGTCCCAAGGGATCAGGGTCTCCCCACTGAAAATGTGCCACTCAGTAATGCCCACACCAACCCGTCACCACGTGAACGCGGGGTCAAAACTCGAGCTCCCTAAACCTGACTTGCGGGGGATTGCGGCCGTCCTAGGCCAAGAGAAAGTCCGGTGTGCTGTGTCCCCTCAAGGCCCCACTGTGTCCGGGGCGCGGGCTTTGCCCAAGTTTGCTGGGCGATGCCCTTCCCGGAGCCGGAGTTGTGGGCCGGGCGGGAGGGGCGCGTGATTGACAGACTGAACTACAGACTCATCTCTTACCTTAGGCCGCGGGCGCTGATTGGCTGCTCGCTGACATCCTCAAACCCGGCTGCTCCGCGCTGGGCTCGGGAGGGGGGCGGCTGCGGGTGGAGGTGCGCTTCTGACAAGCCCGAAAGTCATTTCCAACCTCAAGTGGACTTTGTTCCAACTATTGGGGGCGTCGCTCCCCCTCTTCATGGTCGCGGGCAAACTTCCTCCTCGGCGCCGCTTCTAATGGAGCCCCACCTGCTCGGGCTGCTCCTCGGCCTCCTGCTCGGTGGCACCAGGGTCCTCGCCGGCTACCCAATTTGGTGGTAAGACTCGCCTCTTGTCTGCCCGCGGCCCGATCTCTCCGCCGCGCCCGGGGGAGGTGGGGGGCGCTGGTTCGGGGGTGGGCGGCGGCAGGGCTGGGGCTCCTTTCTCCTTGCCTCTCTCCAGTCCCCCAGCTGCCCACCCCTCCTGGATTTCTGCTGGTGTCGCCTTCAGAATCCAACTCCTGGTTTCTCCGATAATCACCATTTTCCCTGCTACCCGCCGCAGAGGCTGGAGGACTTTCCCCGTCTCTGAAGGTCTCTCATTTATGATTCCGACCCTCCACCCATCCCAATCTGAGGGTGGCTGAAGACCCTCCATTTGCTTGCAGTTGGGTTTCTGGAAATCCAGCGCTGTCCCTGGGGCCCAGCCACTCCTCTTCTCCATTTTGGGGTCTTCATGGGCAAAATCATCCTGTTTCTTCATTGCCACCCTACCTCCGCAGCTCCTTGGTCAAGAGATTTCCCCACAATAACCCCGTTTGCTTTCCTATTTCAGACCCCAAAAGCTGCCCAAAGGGGTCCCTGGGGCAGAGGAGTGGGGGGATTTCATCAGATCCTCCCCACTCTGCACCAGATTAATTTTGAGCTTCTGAAGTGAATATGGTATTTGCTGATCCGAGATGCCATTGAATTCGGTTGTATTCATTTCTTGCCTGACCATCCTAGCAAAAGGGGGGCTCCTTGAAAATGTAGTTGTCTGGGAGGGGTAGGCTTGTTGTTCTTTGACCAAAAACCAAATTCTCCATGTCACATTTGTTCCTTTTGGAAAACCGAGGACCGAGGAGAAAGGGAGAGGGAAAGGAGAAATCTGTCCCTGAGAAATGCGGATACAAAAGGCATTTTAGTAAATAAGACTAGGGAACCAGGCGCAGGCAGGGCTTGGGGGCTGTGTGTGTGTGCAAAGGGACTGACTAGGGAATAAACAGCCTTTTGGGAGCCCCAGCTCTAGGGAGTCCCCTTGTTTTCCAAGCCGCCCCATCTCCACTCCCCCCTTCCGCAGGTCCCAGGGGCCAGCGGGGAAGACACTGAAACCAGTTCTCTAAATTACACCCCGCCTCTCCCCAGTCTCCAGCCCCCTGCATTCCGGAAAACTTTAATTAAAGAATCTTCCCCTCCTGGACTAGGAGAGACTCGGCCTGGGGGTGGGAGGTGAGGAGGAGGAATTTGGGATCTGTGAGGAAGAAGGGGGCTGTGGCCCCTGAGGTGAAAGTCAGAGGGACGTGCCGCCAGGGTGCAGTGCTGCCCGCATGCCCCACTCTCCCTACCTGCCACCCTGAGCCAGGAGCAGAGCCAGGGAGATTTGGGGGCCACACCCTGAGTCTTTTCCCAGTTGTTTGGGGGTGGCAGCATTTGTGTCTGGGTGTTTGGGGCCCCCAGGAAGAAAGGAGGGACAGAAGCAGGAAAAGGGTATAGCCAAGGGACTCTATTTAGAGGGTCCCAGAAGTTGCCCAGCCTGTCCTTCCCTGTGGCCTTGGGCTGGCCTGAGGCCTCTTGTACAAAAAGAAGCCCACAGGGTGGCCAGGGCAGCCAGGGATTCCAGGGCGGGGGAGGCTGCTTCACTGGCCATTCCTGACCCTCTTTCCATGCCTGGGCCAAGGCCATGCTGTTCTTGGCCTTCTCAGAAGACCCTGGCAGGGGAAGGGAGGGAAGAGGCTTGGCGCCCCAGAGGTGGCAGGGACTGCAGGAGAGAGAGCAGGCTCCCTGCCCTGTGCACTGGAGGAAGGCACTTTCCGGGGCAGTGCTGAGGGGAGGTGGTGGTGGTGGGTGTCCTTGTGTGATGGTGTCTAGGGGACATCTGGATAGGGCCCACCCAACAGACAGAAGCTGTGGGAAAACATGGAAGGCCAAGACATGGGCCATAAGGTAATGCTAGACACAGGGGCAGACACGCTGCTTTGTCTGAGCCAAGGAGAGATTTTGTGTGTGTGTGTGTGTGTGTGAGAGAGAGAGAGAGAGAGGGTGGGCAAGTTCAAGTGGACCCATGTGCTTGTCAGTGCCTGCGGCACCTGTGTGTGTGTGTGCACGCACGTGTGTGTGCATGTGTTATGGATCTAGGACCCTATGAAGTGTGTGGTCACTAGTGTGTTTGTGTGTGTAGGAGTTTTTGTGCCAGAGACTGGAAGACTGTGCATGTGGAATCGCGCGGGGTGTGCCTGGGGGATCCGTGGCCCGGGACAGGTTATGCTTGTGTCTCTGCATACAAGTGTCAGCAAGGGGCCGATTCTGGGATCCATGTGTATATGTGTGTGACACACAGAGAGAAAAGTCTAGAAGTATCTTTGCCCATGTAAAGGTCAGTGCCTGTTTGTGCTTGTGACGCTGTGCATGACTGTGTTGGTGACTGGGTATGTGAGTATGGTTCTCGTGTGTGCACGCGCACATGCTTTCACAGCAGTGTAAAGGGGAAGCCCCACAAATGTCTTTGTGTGTGATATCAGTGCTCATGGCCATGACCTGATTGTGTTTGTAAGTAGGAGAGTGAGACCTGTGTCCGTAGCTGTGTGAGTGCTGTGGCTAGGTCAGCTTGTGATCCTGTCCCCAAGTGACAGTGATGTGGCTGGACTCGTGGACTGTGTGTCCGTGGATGAGTTTGCAGATGTCTGGCCTGTGGGTATGAGCGACACCTGAGCTGGTGTGCATGTTGGAGATCAGTTCTTCTAGAGGGAAGGTCCAGCAGGAAGCCAAGGTCTCAGAAGGTGGCTGTAGGGCACAGCTGACCTGGGATCCCATGCTGGGGTGGGGGGACAATGTTCTTTGACATCAGCTTCTCCTATCTGCTTGTGGACTGCTGTCACTGGCCCTGTTCTCTGAGGTAGTTTGATCTTGGGGTTGGGGTAAAGGATGAGTCCCCTTCTTAGGGCTGGGACTGGAGAGTGGATGAGCCTCAGATTCCTGATCCCACTCTGCCCCCAGACAGTCAGATTCCAGACCTTTGAGGATGGAGGCTCCTTGTGGCCTGCCCTCTTTGGCTCACCTAGCACAACATTCCCCAAGAGGGATTTACAGGGAAGTCACTTAGCTGGGATTTCTGTCCTTGCAATCCTGGGGAGAGAACCCCATTCTCAGGAGCCTGCCTTATTCAGGCCCCAGCCTTGAGAGAGGGTAGACAGAAGGGCCCCGACAAATGCTTCTGAAAGGAAGTGGTATGCTCCAGGCCCTCCCAGCCAGGTAGTTGGGGGCACTGGGACAGGAAGCAGTGACAGCAGCTCTGATTTCTAGAATTCTCCTTGTCAGTTCCAGTTAGTGCCTAGTGGAGAAACTTGTCTTTCTTCTCCTTATTGGGGGAAAAGGAACCTACCTTCCCAGGGCCCAGCCCAGTCCCTGCTGCGTTCCAGAGCAGACACCCTGATGGAAGAGGCCTGGGCTGGGTGGGGTCAGCGGCTCACGGAGCTGTCACCGTCACTCAGGGCCATGACCCCTCACCCCACCTGGCTTGGAACTGTCTTCTCTTCTTTCACCCAGGACCACCAGCACACCCTGCCTGGAAGCTTGAGGGAGGGTGTTTTGCTCAGGACACGGAGTGAGCTGGATAATAGGCCACCCGGGTTTCATTCCACCAACCTGACACATGCCCCCACTCAAGCGCCTGCCCCATGCCCTGCCTCAGTTTCCCCATGTTTCAGATGTCCTGCTGCCTTCCCCATCCATTCCCACCCCCACCTGTCTCTCAGAGGCTTGTGAACATGTTCAGTCAAACCCCGTGGGGGTCAGTGGGCTGGGCCCAGGGAGGCACCTGGAGACTGCGGGGGAGGAAGGCCCCAGGCCAGGTGTTAACACTTGTAACAGGCAGGAATTACAGCTGGCTGGGGCTGGGGCTGGTGAGGAGGAGTGAGGCTGGCTGGAGGCTGTTGATCCCACAGACAGACAGACAGACAGATGGGCAGATACGAGATCGGATGACCAGGGTTGAGCAGGGTGGTCTCTCTTCCAGGACAGACTTTGCCCTGGAGGGATGTGACAGGTGGGTAGAAATGAATGAAGGTCTCCTGGAAGTGAATTCATGGCCCTCCTGCCCACCCTACCCCCTGTGGTGGGAGGGGCTTTGGGGTCCAAAGGGAACAAAACTGTGGTTAATCTGTTGGTATTCTTCCCATGGGATCACATTTTGCTTAGGAAAGAAAAAAAGGAGGGGGGAAGGAAGGAAAGAAGGAAGGAAGGAAACAGGTCAAACAGTAAGAATTCTGGGAATAACAGCCTTGGGAAAACTTCTTCAATATATGGGGGCAAGGATGGATGAAGGGGCAGTTGTCAGGGCAGATTCTCTTTAGAGGCCAGAGGTGAGCACTGGGTAGAGCCTGAGCCCTCTGTTCTTAGCATTACCCCATTTGCAAGTCGGGGATCCTGAGGGTCTGGGTCTGAAACTTCTGCCCTGCAATTAATCCTGCCTGTGGGAAGAACTTGGGGGGCCAGAAGAGGCAGGAGCTGGACCTGGGTGCCAATCCTTCAGCAGGTACTTGCCACAGCAGCAAACCCAGGCAGACCTTCCTATACCCACACTCTCTGGCATCTAGGTATCTGCTCAGCCACTGAGAAGTTGGAGACTCTGAGGCAGACAGCACCAGGTGGAAATCCCCAGAGAATAGACTCCGCCAGGCTCACGTGGCCCAGCCCACTTGCTGCAAGCTTCACACTAATAGATACTCATGGAACTTTGGGCAGATGTAGAACTAAGAAGGTGGCATGGCAATGGGGCGGCAGGGGGAGGAGCTGTGACACTGGGGTTTTCTCTAGACCTAGAAGATCACTCTTTGGTCTGGGTAGAGGACAAGGAGCCTGGGGACGGGGCAGGAAAGGTGGTTTTTCTTAGAGGTTGCAGCTAGCAAGCCCTTCCAGGGAAAGGGTGAATTTTTTCGCCTTGGAATGGAATGAGGTGAGCCAGGCACTGAGAAGGACCTTTTCCCACCACCCTACAGGAGCCTGGCTCCTTCCAAAGCCACGGAGGAGAGAAAGACACTGTCACCTCTCACTGGGTAGAAAGAGGAGGTTGCCTAACACCCTTC